CAGTCAAATAATTAGCCAACAAACCAGCCATTTACAAGCAATCAAAATGCACTGGTTCAATATTTTCAATCCTCCTCAACATTGCATTGTGGAAATGCCCACTTTCTGCTAGCTCCCTCTATCATACCCTGAAAAACTTTATTCATCACGACTTTTTGATGAATCTTTCCCCCATTCTTCCTCCAGCCCAATCTGGAACTTTTTTTCTCATAATAGTTTACCCCCTTGGATTCTGTCATCTCCTGATATTAAACACCCTTCATGTTCTCTGGGAAAAAAAATCTGTACACTGCTCCTTACTTAATAAATATATGGCCAGGTGTGGAGGCTCAAGCCTATAATCCCAACACTTTGGAGGATTGCCTGAGCTCAAGGGTTCAAGACCAGCCTGGGCAACTTGGTGAGACCTCGTCTCTACAATAACAAATGAAAAAATTAGCAGGGTGTGGTAGTGCACGCCTACAGTTTCAGCTACATGGAAGATTGAGGTGGAATGATCGCCTGAGCCAAGCAGGTCGACGCTGGGGTGGCCTTGAGAGTGCCACTACACTCCAGCCTGGGCAACTGAGTGAGACTCTTACTATAAATAAATAAATAAATAAATATTCATAAAATTGATAGTTAATGACCACAGTGGTTTAATATATTATTGCTCCAGGATACAACTGTTCAATAATGGCTATATTAGCAACATTGAAGTGTACTTTTTTATAAGCAAGATACTTTCCAAGCAATTTACATATATTAGTTATTTAATTATACTAGATAAGTACTATTATTATCCTCATTTCACAGAGATATTGACTCTATACTTTTGGTTATTTCCCTTAGGTTCTCTGGATATTGAGAAAGGATGATGTAATTATCTGAGTAATTACTCCTTAGAGAACCTAATTCCTTCCTCATTACTCCACTCCCAGATCTTCTGAACAGCCTGAAAAGAGAGAGGTAGCATTTTAACCTCAGGACTAGGAAGATATGAATGTCAAGGTGCCAGGAACTTGGTAAAGTGAGCTTCTCTAGTTTCACTTCAGGCTCAGAGGTCCATGCCACTTGTGGTGAGTTCTCAAGCCCATGATCCCCAAGCCCTGCCTCATGAAGCATCTTTCAGTGTTCCCAACTCATGCCACAGTTCAATGCCCTCTAAATGTTTTCCTAATCAGTAATTACCTCCCTAGCTTCTCAACCTGTGTGGTAGAATGAGAGGAAGCATTTCCTAAATATCAAAGAACACAATAGATTCTACAAATAGTTTTGCCATCATATTATCTTGGGTTATGTATGCAACGCATATATCCTGTTTATATGCTCATCTGCTAAGTGGGAAATTCTTGTCTCCTTGTTTCCCTCACAGATGTGGTCCAAGAATCAGTAATGCAATGAGGAGGCAAAAACATTATTAATAGAAAGTTGGAGCTAAGCAGATTGTGATTGACCTCTTCTGAGAATGCCTGAGAAAGTAGATTAAGTGTGGGCGGGGTGGGGATACTAACATTCACTGCTCTCTAAAGCCTCACTTTAAATATTCAGAGCCCCTCTCTGAGGTAGGTATTAATATTTTCTTTTTTAAAAATAGAGAAACAAATGTGCAATAATAAGATTGGTAAAGTTATACTACACATAAGATTTACCTCCAACTCTGTCTCGCTCTAGGAGTAGAGTATTCACTTCTCCACATTCTCTTTTTTCTGTTGATTTGCTGTCTCCTGTTATCCTGAAATGCTCATGTCAAACAAATTCTAAACTTGGGAGAATGATTGGGTTTTAAGATCTCTTTCAAGAAGACCTAATCTTTATCTGGCTGCAGAGACTCTGGAGATGGGAAATGAGAAGATGCAAAAAATGCAAGAGGGAGAACAAAAAAACAAAAGTGAGCATGGAGAGACAGATAAGACAGGGGAGGGGAGATCCTAGTTTCAAATATTTGACAAGATTTTTTTCTCTTCCGATATCGGGTCACTTGGGGTATAACAGGCAAGATATAGGGTATGACAGGATCAAGTGTTCAGTAAGGCAGCACACAGGAGGAACAATTTCTCCATCCAGAGTCTAACTGATAGTACGTCCATTTAAAAAACTAAGAAGAATATTTTAAGCTTTGGAAAATGAACAGGAAACATAGGGACATAAAAATGGGGACGAGAAATGCTCTCCAAGTCCCTCAGTCATGGGATGTTCCAATACGTGTGAACATTTGTCAACTTCAATGATTTGTCCCTGAATGTCCCCATCTCACATCTTAGCACAAACCACAGCACAAAACTTTTCCTAAGCTAGTATCTGCTAAGTTAAACCACTTCAGGGCATTACAAGTTCCTAGGGAGTCTGTATGTAGTCAGACAATTTTTTTTACATTTTTTCTTTATATGTTTTATGATAGAAAAAATTATGAAAAATAATGATTTTAGTATCTTAGTACATGAATAATTTTCATCTTCTCCATGTCATTTTCAAAGTGCTATTTTATATACCCACTGTCATGACACATTTTTTGGCACCACCCTATACACTTCTCCATTTAGCCTGAAAAAAAAAATGTCTACTGATTCCTCAAATCTATGCTGAAATTTCACTTCCCGAGGAAAGCTTTTCATGATTTTTAAGAATAAATGAGGTTTTCCCTTTTAGATCCCTTTCACAGGATCCTGACCTTTTCCTTCATAACACAATATAATTGTGAATATACTTCAGGATATGTGATGACGGTGTTTCAATATTTGTGGGAGAAGATTTGTTCTCTGGGACCTGTGGTTAAAGCTGCAAGGATGGTTTTCCATGTAGGTCCAGGGTGCTTTGTTGCTTGAGTCATGTCTGGTTCTTAACATTTTAGAAGTACTGATTGGTTGTAGAGCTACAGGGCAAAGAATAATTTAATAATAACCAGCATGGAATCATGAGTCCCCTTTTCTGGGTAGGTTCAGCAGTGCCTGAATGGAGACTTCATATCAGGGAAGATGTGACCAGATTTTCAGCACATGTGGGAAGTATGTTTGTGCATGGGTAAATAAGTAAGCAAGTGTGTGTTTGAGTGTGTGTGTGTGTGTATCTGTATGTGAGTGTTTGGAGAATGAGTTGAAAAGTATCTTCAGTGCCAGGCACAGTGGCTCAAGCCTGTAATCCCAGCACTTTGGGAGGCCGAGGTGAGGAGATTGCCTGAGCCCATGGGTTCAAGAACAGCTTGGACAACATGGTGAGACCTTGTCTCTACAATAAACCAAAAAATTAGCTGGGCTTGGTAGCATGCACCTGTAGTTCTATCTACTTGAGAGGCTGAGGCAGAAGGATCCCCAGACCCCAGCAGGTCGACACTGGGGTGGCCGTGAGCGTGCCACTGCACTCCAGCCTGGGCGATGGAATGACTCCAACTAAAAAAAAAAAAGGAAGAAAGAAAGAAGGAAGGAAGGAGGAAGGAAGGAAGGAAGGAAGGAAGGAAGGAAGGAAGGAAGGAAGGAAGGAAGAAAAAGTACTTTCAGAGATCCTTCTTGCTAGTGCAGTATTCTTTTTTGTTTGTTTGTTTGTTTGTTTATTTGTTTGTTTTTGAGTTGGAGTCTCACTCCATCGCCCAGACTGGAGTGCAGTGGCCGCTCCCGGCCACCGCAACCTCGACCTGCTGGGCTGCAGCGATCCTTCTGCCTCAGCCTTCCAAGTAGTTGGAACTACAGGTGCGCGCTACCACACCCAGCTAATTTTTTTATTTATTGTAGAGATGAGGTCTCACCAAGTTGCCCAAGCGGGTCTCGAACCCGAGGGCTCAGGCAATCCACTCACCTCAGCCTCCCAAGGCACGGGATTATGGGCTGAGCCACCGAGCCCGGCTAGTCCAGTATTCTAATGGTATAACTGCACTGACTATTATGTTCAACTCAAAACACACCCAATCTAAGCCAGTAGTTTAATCCTTTCTGCTGCTGCCTTCCTCTCCTGCCCAAGAGAACATAACTTGAAAATCTGTGTAGAATTCCAGTGTTACTGCAGTGTATTCAGCAGTGTGTATATTCTAGAAAGAAAAAGTCCCGATGGATAAGGCAAGCTATTTTTTGAGACCTGTTGAGCTGACAGACTGCGTATGTCCTCATTAACAGAATATTTTCATGAACTTTAAAGTCTGCACACAAATCCACCACTCTAGGTTCTTGCCTCTTCTTGAATCATTCAGGTCTTGCACATGATCTTTCCAGTTGCTTCCTAATCTTTCAAAGCACAGAACAGTTAAACCCAGTGTGGGTCCAAACTCCACACTTTTCTAGTTTAACTTACCTGCCACTTGCTCTAGTCTCTGGTCACTGCCACTATCTCAGTTTTGTTTTAGACCTCAATTATTTATACAGCTATATTAATTCATCAGGTATTTTTAGCTGTTTTTATAGACCAGGCTATGTGTCTTGTATTTAAATATTTATCAATAAAATATTTTCACATATTCCCAACCTTAATCCATATTTTATTATGGGATTATCTATACTAGTTTGTCTCCCCAGGAACTTTTTAGGGTCAAGCACATCTATACCAGCATAAGGCAGTCATTTCTCTCTTAGCTGATCCAAGGTGAACCACAACTTAGAGGCATAAATTTTTATCTGCCTAGGACTTCCCTATAATGAAGACTGTAACCTCCTTCGTATTGGAAATTTCCTGATGGTGGTCATCCGTCAGTTTTCAGAAATAAATCCTTTGGTCACATAAATCTGTGAGTCTGTTATCTTCTTCTCTTTCCTTATGCCCAATTATCTTTCTTCATAATGATGCCATCTCAGTAGTTTGTTTCTAATTTTCAAGGTGACACTGATTCCATGGGATGAGATTTCTTTTGTTGTTGCTGTACCCAAAAGGGCTTTATTTTTTTAATGCATATTTTTTATTTTAATATTGTGGGATACAGTTAAGGGTTAGGTATACAAATATGCATTGTGTAAAGGTATCCTTGTTGATGAGGTATGCCCCCCCTTCCCCGTCCCCAGACAGATATTGACTACCGTTAATCCCACAGATGAGATTTCAACATGAAGAATTTCAATAGCTCTTTGGGGTTCTTACCTACAACATTCATTTTGGTTGGCATCCCAGGGCTGGAGGCAGAACACCTGTGGATATCTATCCCCTTCTGCCTGATGTACATCATCATCTTCCTTGGGAACGGCGCCATTCTTCACGTCATCAGAACAGATGCTGCGCTATATCAACCGATGTATCTCTTTCTTGCTATGTTGGCACTTACTGAGGTTGGTGTTTCTGCATCCACCCTGCCTACAGTGCTAGGCATATTTCTTTTTGGCACTACAGAGATTAGTTTTGAGGCATGTCTTCTGCAGATGTTCTTCATACATTCTTTTTCCATTATGGAATCTGCTGTGCTGCTGGCCATGTCTGTGGACCGCTTTGTGGCTATCTATAGCCCACTACGCTATACATCCATCCTGACACTGCCCCGCATCTTTGGCACAGGAGCTATCATTGGACTGAAAAGCATTACGCTAATGGTACCATTGCCCATTCTCTTACAGTGCCTACCCTTCTGTGGCCATAATGCCCTGTCCCATTCCTACTGCCTTCACCCCAACCTTATCCATCTACCTTGTGGTGACATTTCCATTAACAATATCTATGGGCTTTTCATTGTTATCTCCACTTTTGGACTGGATTCATTGCTGATTGTGGTCTCCTATGGGCTCATACTCTACACTGTACTGGGCATCACCACTGGAGAGGGGCGGAGGAAGGCATTCAAGACATGTGGGTCACACGTCTGTGCTGTGCTCACTTATTATGTGCCCATGATTAGCTTGTCTATGGTGTACCGCTTTGGACACCACGTGTCCCCTCTACTGCAAGCAATGATGGCCAATGCTTACCTCTTCTTCCCACCTATTGTCAACCCCATTGTCTATAGCATTAAGACCAAGGAGATCCATCGTGGCATTATCCAGATGCTATCAGAGAAAAGACCCAGAGTTTAACCAAAAGAATAAACTGTTTGCTTGTTGGCTTTTTTGTAATCACAAGTGGTCCTGGTTTGCATGTTTATACAATTGATGGTACCATAAAGCATGGTGTCTAACAGGAGGTTCTCCATAATCTGTGAATTGGAGTAGGAATATAAGCATGGATGAAGGGTGGATTCTGTGAGACAGAGCGGTACACAAAATTTGTGTTATTTCAAAATATGTTGTATGATATGAAGTTTTTCCATTACTTTGCATACCTAGAGCAGGAATGCAGGAAAGATTGTTTATGAAAACACAGTACTCCAACAACGAAAAGTCACTGGAGGTAGAAGGTGTTCTGCCAAATCTAATTGAGCCCTCTGTGCTAGGAAGAGAAGTGAAATGTATTACATTTTCTGTCTCTGAATACAATAGAGGAGGAATATACTAGCTATTTCAAAGGAAGCTTCCATTGCAGGATTTGATGTGGCATTCACCCAACTTCACCAAGGTTTCAAGATGGGAATCCCAAAGAAAATCTTGTTTGTAATGCAAAATTCTGAAGTCCTCCCATTCCAAATGTAGAAATTTTTAAAGAAGACAGTATCCTCATTGTGGAAATTAATATTTTCTAATGATTTGAAAATTCCTTTGCAGACATTTCAAATAATGTAAAGAGTTACACATATTTTTAGGGAAAGAAAAAAAGATTTTTGACACGAAATTATATAAGAGGCACTTTGCATGTATTATTTCCATCACTCTCCACAGCAACTCCATGGCCAGGATTAATACAATTATTATTTTTCAGATCAAAAACTGATGCTTACAAATAGTAAGCATTTTGCTCAAATCTATACATCCAAGAGATAGCACTGTAATCTAGCTGGATCAGACTCCAGAGTCTGAGTTGTTATCTCCTCAACTATGTCAACTGGGAAAGAACTGAAACTATTTGATCCTATTAATAGTCATTCAAGAATTTATTGAGAATATTCAATGGGTTAGACATAAATCTGAGTCCTAGAGATAAAGCAGTGACAGAAGATACAAGGTCTCTTTCACTCATGGAGCTTAGAAAGAATTTTTTATCTCTATACTATCCATTTCTGTTCCACTTTGTACTTCCTGGAATAATACCTAGAAACAATTTTAAATAGAACTTATAGCATCCCATATACAAATAACTATGCACAAATAAAACTTTTGAATATAAATTTTAAACAGTTTGAATTGTTTATTTACTTTTTGGTTTACAAAGATGTCAAAAACTAACAAAGACTTCTTGTACAAGTTAATTCTGTGACCCCATCTCCAGAATTCCATTTGCCTTGTTTCCACAGATTCTGACCTGGGGATCTCCAGTTGCATGTAACCACAGCTTAGATTTATAGCCCACTGATGAATGAAACAACTCTGCAGAGGACAATAACTTAGAATCACCAAGGGAAACCAAACAAGCAAACCTACAGGAAGGATGATCCAATAAGTGACCAGAGAAATGAAAGTAGTTATTTCCTGGGATGAGCAGAAGGGCACATTTTTACTGTATATGGAGAAAGACATTTCACAGGTTGAGAGACACAGGAAGAGATAATGGGACCCGGTTGTCAAATGGCTTAACATAAAATAAGAATCTTAGAAACTCACTCTTATTATCTCTCTGAGATTGCATGGTGAATTATCAGTCTTCATAAAGACTTCAGTCTTTATATTTAAGTCTATCTTTTCAGACTTCTATATTTAAGGTCATTGAAAACACTGAGACTCTGAATGTAGATATAACTTGCCCTTAGCTATTTTTCTTATTATGGTCAATTGAATGGATACCTTCAGCTCCGTTCTAAAATGGATTCCTTTATATATGCCTGTTTTAGTTCCACTCTGTCATGCTATTGTACTGAAGTTCAGGCTCAGAGACAGTATCAGGATCAGGCAGGATCCTAGAAAATCATACCTTGAAAAGAGTCTATAAAGTTGAGTGTCTATAAAAATGAATAAGCAGAATCCAATATGACTGTCTGGGAAAATGTTAATTTTGGCTGTACCATTCTCTGCCCTTATATTTTATTATCCTAATTCAAAATCTAGACCTTTTGAAAATATTTTGATTCTTTGTGCTCTCAGCAAGACAAAATTATCGATCACTATATTTAGCTAGGTATGGAGCTAAATTATGTATTAAGACACTAAAATGCATAAAATATTATACGCATTTTCACATTTATCAGTGAGATATTAATTGGTTTTAAGCCAATTCTTCTGCAAAGAACAATTAGAAAAGTTAAGGAAATATTTTAAAATTATTTTGGAAAGTGTCTAAGGCGATGAGGATGCAAAGAACAAGATTCCAAAGGGAAAGGAAGCCTAGAAAAGTGAACCTGATATTTATTGGCATTTTTCCCTTTAAAGAATTTATCAATTTAAAATTAATAGCTGAAAAAATGAGAAGAGCTTACAGAAAACTCCAAGGACTGTAGTAAAGGAGACAATTGTCAGAACTACAAAAATAAGTAGACAAATCCATAAGCATAGTGATAGATTTTATTACACCTTTCTCAGTAGTTGATAGTAGCAAATAGGGGAAAAACAAAATAATAGGAATTTTTTTGAAAATATCATTAAAAATCTTGATCTAATTAATACTTCACATTACTATACATTCTTTTTAAGTGCATATGAAACACCAAAATTGACCATTGGAGCTGGTAATATTTTATTCCTTGATCTAATTGAGGGAACAGGATGACTTCTTTTTGTGATAATTATTGAGCTATACACTATGAATATTATGTGTCAATATGACTGACAGTACTGGGAAACTATGGGGGAGGAGGGGGATGGGATTAACAGTAGCAAATATTTGTCTGGGGATGGGGAAACACCTCTTATCAACAGGATGCCTGAATGAAACATAATTGTACACCTAACCCTTAACTGTATGCCACAAACCATAATAAAAAATATTGATTTAATAAAAATAATGGAGTCCAGTAGTTTTAAAGTGTAATAAGAATCATCTGTCTATGTGGTGTTGAGGAGTGAATCACTGCATGTAACTAATCTGGTATACTGACTTTCACAAAATCTTCAGTTTTGGGTCCCACACACTATTACCCTCTCTGAGTTTCAAGTCAGTCAAATAGATGAAACATTTATTGAATAACTACTTGCTTACTTCTTCCTTTGTAATAATTGAGGTTATTTACTGCATAATTAATTGCCACATGTCCATGTGCTTTCTGTTTGTATTTTTAAAAATTTTTCACCTGCTGTTGTTTTCTCAAACATTTTGTCACCAATGTTTATAGTTTTATTATTATTAATAGCCTGAACAAATGCATATATTCAATTTACCTGGTTTATATAATTTGACATATACATTTTCTCCTCTTCTGTCTTCCACTAGATTAATTTTATAAATGATTTCCACTGTTTGCTTTGGAGTTATAAGTTGCACTTCTTTTTATAGGTACATTTTTAACATGGGTATTTAACAAATCCCAAAGTTATTCAAATTGTCTTTTATCCTCTTCAAATAAATAAATAATTTAACATGCTTTAAATTACAATTCAATTCCCTCTATTCCTTTTTTATAACAGTAATGACTAATTTTTATCCACATTTTAACAAATTTAGACATTCACATGTTTCCAGTTTCAAGAGATTTGACTGTATATATATTGAAAATAGTCACTTGTAGTCTATATTTTAATTGTTCCGGTTTTCATCCTTAAAAAAATGTTTACACAGAGTTTATAATACCCTTTTTCTTTTTTTTCTTTTTTTTCTTTTTTTTTGAGTTGGAGTCGCACTCAGTCACCCAGACTGGAGTGCAGTGGCCGCTCCCGGCCACTGCAGCCTCGACCTGCTGGGCTCCGGCGATCCTTCCGCCTCAGCCTTCCAAGTAGCCAGAATTACAGGCATGTACTACCACGCCCGGCTGATTTTTTGATTTATTGTAGAGATGAGGTCTTGCTGCCCAAGTGGGTCTCGAACCCGCAGGCTCAGGCAATCTACTCACCTCAGCCTCCCAAAGGCGTGGGATTACAGGCTGAGCCACCGAGCCCGGCTTATAATACCCTTTTTAATTTTTCACATATCTTCTCTGAAGCTGCATCTTATATCACTCTCTTTTCTCTCTAAACTACAGCTCTATCGAATGTCTTTCTTTCATTTCTTGCTGCCTCAAGTTAGCTTTCACAGTCTATAGCATACTATTTTATCCCTTTGTAATGATTTATACCCATCTTTGCTCACCTAAGTTCCTCCCTTTTTATGTTTTAATTCTATCCCCAAAATTACTTCATAAATGAAACTTTATTTCTTCCTCTGTATTAGAAAAATTATCCTAACTAGACATTCTCAAAATCTTTCCTTCCTTCCTTCCTTCCTTCCTTCCTTCCTTCCTTCCTTCCTTCCTTCCTACCTTCCTTCCTTCCTTCCCTGCTTCTTTCTTTCTTCAGCACTCTTTTCTGCAATGACCTCGGATGTATACAAATACATTTGGAGAAAGCTTAGCAGTCCCAGCTACTGTTTTAATTCCTTATTTTCTCCGTCTATCTGTTGACAGAGAAGCACCATTCTTGACATTCAACAGCTTGCCCAGTACTCTGCATTACAGTATGAAGGGATTCAGGCAAAAAGAAAATGATCTCAGAGGGAAATACAAAAATGCAACGATAAATGAAAAGCACTTAAAAAGAGATGTATCTTGAGTTTTAAAAGTTCTAAGCTGCTAACATTATTGAGAAAGTGGAGAGATAGTAATTTATAGTAGACTATAACAAAGATCCAAGTATCACATGTTCTCACTCATATAATGGACCTTGAACATCCAATGTAATACTATAAGAAAATGACTGACGGTACTGGGAAACTATGGGGGGGGGATGGGATTAACAGTCGCAAATATCTGTCTGGTGATGGGGAAACACCTCTTTTCAACAGGGTGCCTGAATGAAACATAATTGTACACCTAACCCTTAACTGTACCCCACAAAACCATAATAAAAAATATTGATTATGAAAA